GTCCTCCCTACTCCTCTTCCCTCCTCTTCCCTCCTTTTCCCTCCTCTTCCCTCCTCTTCCCTCGTTCCTCCCTCGTTCGTCATCGTCATAGTCCTTGTCCTCCCTACTCCTCTTCCCTCCTCTTCCCTCCTCTTCCCTTCGTAGGGACTGCGAGTGTCAACAATGGCGACAGGGGCTTGCTGGAAAGATGGACGGTACCGGTAAGGGCATATGGGAAACTCTTCTGCTGTTTCTCAACAGGCAGCCGGTAGGGGCATACTGAAAATTTGGTACGGGTACCGGTAGGGGGCCATATGAAACATGTTTGAGGCCCAAACGACCCCAGGGGTTTTCTGGAAACATCACTCGTTGTCAGAGGGGCACGACAAGGTAAGTCAGCCGTCAGAGGGGCACGCCGCAAATAAACGCAAACTTCAGGGGCATTTCGAAATTTTCCCAAAAAGCAAACAGAAGAGCTCTGTTTTCCAAAAAAAAAAAAAAAAAAGCTTTCTAACCAAATGATATATACAAAAAAAAAAAAAAAAAAAAAACTGCTCTAGGTTTCGAGAGTATGTCCTTAGGCCCACGGCCTACTTTTTTGGAGAGTTAACAACTCTGACACTGGTCCAGTTTGTGAACACATGCATTCCAGAGTTGTTTCAAGATCCGAGAGCCAGCTGCTGCTGGTTTGAGAGGACGGTGTGGCGAAGGGCCTGTGAAACTCTCAAAACCTGATCTCTCAATTTCTTCTGACACCTCTCGAGTGTTCACTTTAAACCACCAGTACTTCCAGAAGTGAGCACTGACGCTTTAAACCACCAGCCCCAAAGTGAGAGCCAGCTGCTGAGGGACTGAAACTATCAAAACCTGGCTCTCGATTTCTTCTGACACCTCTTGAATGGTCGCTTTAAACCACTAGTACTTCTGAAAGTGAGCACTGGCGCTTTAAACCACTAGTAAGTCCGAAAGTGAGCACTGGCGCTTTAACCACCAGTACTTCCAAAAGTGAGCATTGGCGGTTGAAACCACGGGTTCCGAAAGTGGCGGCTGTGTACGAGCGGCGACAGGGAGGGCTGAACGGGGCTGGCTGCGCCGGTGCAAAGTCATCCAAGTGCCGGCCGGCCGTATATGAGCAGCAATGCGCTGGACCAAATGGGCCTGGTGGCTCTGGTACAAATTCTTTCAAGTGGAAGCGTCGCGGCTCTATTTTTCACTGGGGCCGATGTATGGGCGAAGTACTGGTCGTTTAAGAGGACGGTGTGACGAAGGGCCCCAAACCCTTGAAACCTGGGCTCTTCTGACGCCCCTCGGAAATTTTTCAAGGTTCCCAGAGTGGTGTGGGCAGGCCCATGAACAGATTCTCGAAATTTATTAGATTCATCCCACCATTCAAAACAGCGAAAACAAATCTAGTTATTAATGAGCATTCTCATCAATGAGTCAGACTTTGGCATGCCTAGGACAATAGTGAGTGTTAAACCACCAGTACCTCCATGTTTTTAGGCCGTTAACGTGGTGGCTGAATCGGTGCGCCGCGCAGGTCCATATGCATTTGCCTCAGAGCCTCCCCAACCATATTTTTCCCAACCATTTTCCTCTGGAGGGGTGTGCATGCGGTGGCGAGTATTGGGGGTCGGCCTACCAGGGCAAAATGGCTGGCGGAGCGAGCTGAAAGAAGGCCTGCGCCGTTTTTCTTTCTTTTGGGCAAGGGAAGAGTCAGAAGTACTGGTGGTTTCAGGAGTAATGGTAGGTAGGTAGTGAGATGCAAAAAATGATTTGAGAGAAGAGGCAAAAAAAAAAAAGTACTGGTGGTTTAAGGATGTAAGTTTCACAAGGCCTCAGTGGCAGTCTTTCGTGAAACGAACAAACAGGCTGAACAGATGCATCGTCATGCACAGCAATTGGTTGGGATGGGATTTCAGAGAAGTTGATTGGGATGTAATTCCAAAAAAAAACGGTTAAAAAGGATGAGCATTTGCCTAATTTAGCTACGGTCTTCTACCTGAACATAACGCACCTGATAATGAATGCATACAAGCTGCATTTCTAATCCAGTACAGCCACTGAGGGTGTGTGTTGTGTTCGGGGGAAGACCGTTGTGCTTATAACAATGTTGTTTATTCAGCCACCGGACAAATTCCCAACCAACTGCATCTTGGATGGAAGCCAAGCAAACCAGTTTATTTCCTGTGTCCCGACAAGACACAGAGTCGCACAGAGGCTACCACCTAGGGCGTGGTCCCACTAGCAAAGAGGATCGGATCGAATGCCTGAATCTGGACGAGTTTATGGAGATGTGCAGGAAATCGAGATTGAACTGCGTTTCTGCATCTCTGTGTAAAACACATCCAGATTCAGGAGCTCAATCCTATCCTTTTCGCTAGTGGGACCTCGGCCCTGGTTCTTTGGAGTGTCCACTGCAGTATGATTAGATCTTGTAGAGAAAACTGGTGATCAGTTGGAAAAATAGCAGCACGAAAAATGATAAAGCATGCAGATAAAAACACAGGCGTGTCCCATTTTGAGGGAGGTGGTCTGGACAGGGTCAAGTCGTCTGAATTCATTCCAGAAGAGAATAGGCCTCGTTCCACTGCTCACCAAATGTGCAAAATGAGAATGAATCTTCTGCTATAACATGGAAAGATACGCGATCATATTTTGTCTTTTGTGCATGCGGTGAGTAGTGGAGCGAGCGAGGCCCAAATATCTCGAGGAGGTTGCCGTCGTTGTACTACGAGCAGTGGACAATTTTAGATATTGCAGGCAGCAATCCCGATGGTCCTACCTATGTCACATATGTCCCCTCCTCATCTTCATACATACCCAGTCGTTCATACTTACCCAGTTGTTACCTTTGCAAACTAATGATCAGTTCCCTTCACGTAGATCGATGCTACATCGTCTATGGACACACCAAAGTATACGTGCGTGTGCCTAAACGAACAGGAAGAGGGCGCCCACTGAACCCTAAGTTGCAATGCATAGTTCGGTCACAGTAATCTGAGTGAAGATGGGTGGTTCACGAGGGAAGAGCTGATCCAGACTCTCTCTCTCTCTCTCTCTCTGTCTTTCTCTCTCTCTCTGTCTGAGATGACGAGGTGCAGGAGAATAGAAGAAGAGTGAATGAATGAAAATCTCCTCTCTCTCTCTGAGAGATACTGACCAGTGAAAAGAAGAGCCTTGAGCCGCCGATGCAGTGAAGGCACCTTTAAGAAGAAGACCGGCTATGGCCGGTGGCAGACCTCCAAGCTACAGCACCAGGTGAATGGACTTCTCAGTTGAATTTGTCATGCGACCTCCGCTTACGACCACTCTACCCCTAGGCCGATCCACCCATTAGTCCGGCAGCATAGTGGCGACGCGCGAATGAACTAACGTCCGTAGTGGGGTGGCCCTCTTCATGAGTACTACCGAGCTGCCCAAACTCTCTTCCCTGCGTAGCTCCTAGGCAGTCGGATTGACCTGTCATCTGACGGCCAGATTAGATTCAGAGGTCCTACCTCCTCCTAGGCCATGTTCGTTGGCTTTGGCATTATTGGTAAGGGAGAAGTACAGTACAGTTCGAACTTGGATGCAAAAGAAAGATAGAACACATGCTGGTGAGAAGGCAAGTTGGCTAGCGACTCCTTTAGACTTGGGAACAGGCTCTCGCCAACACGGCCGCCAAAAGAATTCAGATCGTATGGTCATTGTGGTTGTAGTCGGGGGCTAATTGTCAGTCTTGATACAGTGATAACGACCACCCTCTTTCCAGCATCTGTTCATCTATACGCTCAATTATGTCAATGCATGCATTCACCCTCTTTCTGACCATTTATTCATCTGTCGAAAGGTTCCTTGTTAACATGTAATTGAAATGTGGTGTTGTGCCGTCTGTTTATCTGTGGTGATTGTTTGCAGTCACGCAGCGGAGGAGGAAAGGCCCCTGGAGGAAGTGCCTTGCGGGGAATGTGAACTACTCATAGAGCATCGTTTATTCTTGTGCTGATGCGCACTGTGAGTGGGTCCCCTGATTGCATTTTCGTCACAACTTTCTGAAGGATAGTGTGCCTCTGCAGGACATAATCCCCTGCTGTGTGCTTCACGGTTGTCCTGCTGACAATGACGATATGCAGTGACAGGATATATCACAGGGTGTTTTGCGTTGTTGGATTGTATCTTTTCGTCGGACTGGCTGTACTTGATGCTACTGCTATATTGCTGTCAAATCCTGCGACTGAAAGATGTCCAGAAGGTATGGTTTGGGATGATACTAACTTAGGCCAGGGGCAATTTTATCAAATTCACCTTCGTTCCTCCTGATTGGCTCTTTGGTTTGACCCCTTTCACTATGTGGACCCTGTCGTAGGCTCTTTGGTTTGGCCCCTTTCACTATGTGGACCCTGTCGTGGCTCATCACGACCATTTCCCGATGGCCTTTCCTCCCTCCTCTCCCTCTCATGCCTCCGTTTTCACTTCCCTCTCCATCCTCCCCCTCCATACCCATTTGTCCTCTTCCTCCTCGAATTTTTTGCATCCCCCCTCTCTTATCATTTCCTTAAGTACCTGACTCTCTCTCTCTCTCTCTCTCTCTCTCTCTCTCTCTCTCTCTCTCTCTCTCTCTCTCTCTC